ATTTTTCAAGCATCAAAACCTATTGAGAAAAGTGGTACTAGAGTTTTAGTCATTGTTATTTGGAGAAATATCTCATGAAAATAAGCTAATATTTTTATTGACTTTTTAATCAATTTTCTAATTTCTTTTTTTATTTCAGATTATGCTTTGGAATTAATAGGCAAAATGGAGTCTGAGGTAATTAACATTATTATGAATAATTTCATTAAATTAATAGTAGGGAAAAAAATTATAACAAAATGGAAAAAGATTTTGTGTAATGTGTTTCATCCTTTAGGATTTTATCAGATTAAAGTGATGTTTATGTTCATGTGACTACACATGAAGAAAAAGGCATGCTGAGAATTTTAAATTTAAATTTCTTTTTTTAAATATGTTTTGGGTATATAGTCTAGCCGACTTCATTTAGATTTTTCTTTTGTTTTTGCTCATGTTTCCATCACTTTCGTTATTAAAATATCCCACACTAATAAAATCAAAGAACCTGGACATAAATTTACTGTAGTTAATCTAGCTGTTAAAGCACTTTCTATACATTATTGTCTTAGTAATTTGTTTTCTCTTTTGATTAGAGTAGCATTTTTTAAATTAAAATTATGGTCAGACACATTATGGTGAACAATTAATACATTTAGTATATTTTGTGAAAGTTCCATTTTTTGTTCATATAATCTTTTATTTAAGCCCCTTGAGGTTTCCCTTATCTATTCCTTATGAAAATTATTATCAGGTCATCCCATAAGTTCTGTCCAAATTTTGAATAAAGAAAACAAGTGACCAAATGTTACATTTAATTACAGATTCAATCAACAATGTATTTTCCCTGATTATCTATGACTTCCTTCCATCTATTAACAAGCTTACTAATTCCATTACTGTAAAATTCTTTTTGGCTTTGATTCAAGAACTCACAAATGTCAGTTTTAACCTCTTCCTGTGTTACAAAAGCTGTTTCTTCCAAATGATTCTGTAAGCTACAAAACAAATGGTAGTCTGAAGGAGCAAGATCAGGAGAATAAAAAAAGATGAGGAATTTTCTCCCCAACAAGTTCTTCAATCTTTTGTGACGTGATTCTTGCTGTGTGGGGTCACGCATTGTCTTGATGAAACATAACCTCTTTTTAGATTCACTAGAGCAGGTCTTTTTTCCTCAAAAGCTTGGTTCAAACGCTCTAATTGCTGACAGTATATTTGAGCATTAATTGTTGCATTAGGTGGTAAAATTCAAAGTGGATTATTCCTTGGCGATCCCACCAGATTGAAAATAAGAACCTTTTGCCCATGAAGTTCCCTTCTCGGCTGTGGCTGGGGTCCTTCCCTTTACCAAACCACTGTCTCTGACGTAACATTTCAATAAAGATCCATTTTTTTTTCGACCGCCAGTCACAAGTCTATCCAAAAAAGGTGAAACAAGTTGGCAAGAATGGAGAGAAGAGCAGATGTCAACTCAGGATTTGAGGTTGTTTTCAGACAATTCATGAGGCACCCATTTTCTAAATTTAGGAACTTTTCCAAGTTGTTGAAGATGACAATGAACAGTTGTATGGTTTGAACTGGGAACCACTGCTAATTCCTCAACTGATAAAGCAGGATTTTCTTCAAGGGCTGCTTCAAGAATCTTTTCATCAAACTCAACTGGACATCCGGTTTGGTCTTCATCTTCAAGGGTGAACTCTCCACCTCTGAATTTTGCGAACCATTTTCTGCAAGTTCTTTCATTCACACATTCCTTTCCATAAACTGAGTGAATGTTTCTAGCCGCTTCGGCTGCTGAGTTTCCTTTCTTGAACTCATAAAGCATTATGTGCCTCAAATGATTCTTTGGTACTTCCATATTAGCAGGGTTTTACTCAAACAAAATTTAATTTTATTGTTCTCTGAAATAAAGTTTGATCAGTTTAAATGCATCTAAACATAAAAATGTTCAGCTCCATTAGACATTATAAAATACTCTTTAAATTTTGTTCATTTTAACAAAAAGTTAAAATTCGGATAGAACTCATGGGATGATCTGATACATTATGTTGAGCTTAGATAAATTATTTTTAATTGTAGCTGTGATAGTGGGTAGAACAATATATTTTGATTTGTTGAGTTTGTAAGGAAGGTCCATTTTATCATAGTTTTTTTTTCCTAAAATTGTTCTTGATATATAAAAACTTATATATTGTTTTTCCTACAAATAGCATTTTCATTGCAGTTTAATCAAATTTTTTCTATTTTGTAACTTTTTGTGCACATATTTTATAGTTGTATGTATTTAAGGTTTAAAGATTTCTCTTATAAATATTTTTTTCATACAGGAGCTAAACCACTATAGTTTTGTATAAGATCAAAAATTAAATTTTTTTTTTAGAAATGTATAATCTACTTCTGAAGATGTTCTTATTACTCATGCCATATTCTTTTTATTTTCTTTCCATTTTACAGGGACTTCCTGTAAGGCCTCATTATTTTTGGCCAGCTTTTTGCCAATATGAGAAAAGTGGCAACAAAGAAGGTAAAAAAAAAATTGTTGGAAAAATATTTCAATTAGAAAATGCTACACCTATCTAAAACCTGTATCTTTTGCTGTTTGTAATGATTAAACATGTTTACTTGTTTAAATATTGTCTGAAAGAGAATTATAAATTAAAATTACCGACCTAAAGTTTTTTTTTTCTTTTTTTAATACTTGAATCGGTCATTCACTATTAACTTATTAACAGTGAAAGGAGCAGCTTTATTGCTGTTTTCTAACAAATTTGTCCAAATGCACCTGCAGGTTTCACATGCTTACACTCTGGAGCAATTTGGTAGGACTTTATTTCAATAAACAACATTAACACCTGACAATGATCAACTAGAAGTGCAAGAAATTTACAAATTTGTAGATTTCCAAAACCATATCTCATGACCAGTAATACCAAGGAGGCTAAATTTGGTATTATTTAAAAGAGAAATCAATTTACTTTCACATAAAATCAACTTGTAATATATGATTTTCAATGGTTTTCAAGATTCCACAATTCACTCAGGACTCTAGAAATTTAACAACTGAAATCCCTTAAGGGATGATAAGCAAGATTTTGTCATTCACATTGAGTTATAAGGACATGTCAAATATTTGGAAATAACAGTTGAGATACAGAACTGCAAGGATTGAAATTCTTGTCATTTGCAACTAATGGGTTCATAAATATTCAATTAAGATTGAAATGGATTTTATTTGAAATTTAAAATTTCTGGATGATGAGGTCAGAACATCTTTTGATGAAAAACTAATCTGATGTCTTTTTTTTTTTTTTCCCCTCTCTATTTGACATATTTCATTTTTTTGATTGAGACATTTTTTTTTTTTGTTTTTTTCCTATTTTTATAATCCTCCATTTGCATTCAGAAGCATTATATACACTTGCATATTGAAATCTGTTTTCCGAAGATGAAAATTATGCAAATTACTCTGGTATAAACTTAAAATTCATCATTTTTATTAGATTCATTTTTTTTATTATATAAATGTTATATAGTGAGTTGTATAGTTTTTCTGTTTTCTTTTTAGTATGTCGAAGATTTTTACTTAAAATATTGCAGAAAATGTTTCCATTAAAATCAAGTAAAAACTTGCATTCAATAATAGAAAATTAAAATTTGAATATAATTAAGGGTTCAAATTAGTAAAGAAAAAAATCATATTAAAAATTATTAAAGAATAAGTATTTTAAACTAAATGTACTTTTTTATAAAAATTCTTTTAAAGGTTATATTTAAATATTTTGATTTTAAAATATGGATAAAAAGAATCCATTAAATTTATTTGCAAATTAAAGAAAAAAATTTTAAATTACTTTTAGAAAATCTTGGTAAAAAAATTTTTAACATCTGTTACTCCCCACTTACATTAATTTCATGACATTTCTAGAAATTAAATTCTGACCTTAAACTTTGTTTTATTAGTTAAATGCAGGACTCCTTGGAGAATGCAAATCATCTTTTTATTTTTTTTTTTTTTTTTTTTTTTTCAAATAGTTACTGCTTTTCCAAAAATTTGCTCCAAATAGTAAAATAAAAACTGTAATAAAACTGACATTATTTAATTAGATAACCATTTAATTGTTCTTATAAATAATATATATATAAGGACAAAAAAGAAAAATTTTGATGAAAATGAATTTTTTACAAGAATTGTTTTTGATTTTTTTTTTTTTTAATTACAATAGTTTATAAAGTTTCAAAAGTTTTTTTACAATTCTTCAAATCTTTGATGTGATTCGGTTATTAAGTGAAAACTATATTTACTAGCTTCTATTGAAAAGCCTAATACAAATCATCACCAAGTTTAAAATTTTAAATAATTTTTAATTTTTTTTTTTTTTTTTTGTGTTATAAACATGCCCATTTCAAAAGTATGGGTGACTATACAAGACATTATCAGAAAATAAAATCAATGACTATATTAAATTTAAAGTCAACATTCCTAAAATTAGATCACGCAGAATATTTCCAACATTTTTAAGATTACTGAGTACTTAAAAATTATATAAAAAAGGTGGGCTCACTTATCATTTTCTTAAATTATGTTTTAACAGATCAAGTTTCTGTAGAACAACAATAAAACTATCAACACCTTATCAGTGCTTGTTAAGTGATTGACAAGCAATGAAAAGCACATAAATCACTGCCACTGTTTTGTAAATCCATTTCTCTGTTATTTTCAACTTAAAGTAAATAATATTTGTTTCAAATCAGATTAATTATACTTTAAATTAGCTAATATTTCTCAAATAGTTTCAGAAAAGTATATTTTGTTTTTGGAATATTTTTCAATAAAGAAAATTACATTGTGATGACAAAAAAGAGCACTAATCAGCTATTTTTAGCCAAAACAAAGTGAATCGATTCCAATCAATATAATTGCTGTTTAAAGTACGCTACAGAATATCTTACTTATTAGAAATAGTAAATTTAATCCTTTAGCTTTCAATTAAAACTTTAAAAAAAGCTTTTTAATTTTTAAAATTAATTTTAAGCCTTAAGTATTGAGAATTTGTGGAGGTACCTACCTACTCTTGTGTTTCTCTGCATCAATGAAATGGAAAACCTTGTCAGTTATACTTTTCATTTGTACCCTCTTACTTCTTTAAATAATGACCTACATTCATATTTATGATTGTTATTGTAATATTTGGTTAAAGTTGTTAAGCTCAAATATTTAATTAAACAATAGGAAAATTTTTATGGGCATTTTATATTCTTGGAACTTAGTCATTAAATTAAGAATTATGATTCAGTGGAAAATTCAAATAGAAAAACCATGGATTTTCCATGAGTACTACTTTTTCTAAATAATTAGGAAAATATAGTAATAGACAGGATAAAAAAAATGTGCAGAAAAATCTTGACAATAGCTTAACTGTATAACTCTAAAGTCCTTTGTTGCCATTTTTTAGGCTCTAACTTTCCCTGTTTATCTCTCCTAGCCATGTTGTTTGTTTGGATATGAAGTCTTAAGCAAAACTAGTTAAAAATCTTCAGGAAGTGGGAGAATAAAGAAAATACAAATGTCTTTTTCAGGATAGAGGGCCAACAATTGTTTGTAGAAACAATGAGTTTATTTGATAAGATGAGCGCTACAATTTCCACTTTAACCATTTCCGCTTTGGTGATGCAATTATCTTATTCTGGTTCATTCATAGCAAAATGACCATTATTGATGACTAGTATATTCAATAATTCAATCAGGCAACTTTGTTCTCAGTCTTGCAGATCAAGTTAGTCTTCAAAACTTGAACTTTGACAGTTTTTAGTCTATAATGGTTAATTTCTTATGTTGAAAATTTTCAATCAAATTTTTTTTTTGTGAAGTATCTTCATGAGAACTGAGAGAGCCTAATTTGATTTCCAGTTGGATTACTTACATTCATTTACATGCAAATGCCTTTGGAAAAGTTGTGAATCCAACCCCCCAGCTATGGGTTAATTAGTAGGACTTCAATCTGGAAAGATCATTATTTTCAAAAAAAAGTTGTTAATGCAATATTCACTCTCAAAAAAAGAAAATTATTACAATAAAAAATGTTTGGGCTTTAAATAACCCATAAAGGGTTGATAAACCATAAAAAACAATTACTCGTGCAGTATTTTACAAGGCGTGTTAAAGAGAGTGATGACATCAACTTTTAGTTTCTTTCCCGGAAACTAGACCACAATTGTCTGAGGGTTAAAGTTGACCTACTGATATTGAGGTAGTAATAAAAAAAAAATTATCAGAACCCTGAATATATTCTAAACTTTTTCAAATTTAACCTGTTTAAATTCCTTTTAAGGTCTTAGTTTCCATTAGCTGAAACCCTTTCACTGTCACTCTTAGCGGGTGTTTCCATACTGATTACATAATCAAAATGGTCATCTTGATCAATTAGCATTTTATGGTGAGATAATTGTTCATTTGGTAGCACAGATGGACTATATATGTAATGCATATGGACTACATGTAATGGCATAACAAGCTTTGCATCTTGTTTAAAGCTGTTCACATAAAAAAAATTGGCATTTATTTTCCTGTCTTAGAGGTTTTTTTTTTTTTTTTTTTTTATTTGAAAACAATGCCTTTTTGATTTTAACATTGCATGAATACCTACCTGGATTAATTAAACAATTTGGTTTGTTTTTTTCTTTTCCTTCAAATATATATTAACTGCTGCTGATGGAAATTTCAATTGTTTCAAGCTTCTCATTTCTGTTGTTTATATATATATATTATATTTATATAAAACAATTTTGTTTCAACACAAATCAAGTGATGGTGTTGAAAAGAAAATAAAAATGGTTTTAAAAAGTTTCAGATTAATTAACGATCCTACACTAGGGGAGCATTGTTACAAAAGCTAGAATAACCAATCAAAACGAAGTACAGAAAGATTCAAAAGCTTGACAACAAATCCTGCTAAAGCTATTTAGATCTTTAAATACATGTAATTTAAAATAATTTTACTAACTAATAATTATAAATTTATATGTTAAAATTTAATATTAAAATTAAAAACTGGCAATTTTAAAATCCAAATTTAATCACTATTAAGTTTAAAAACTACAAAATTGAGAAAAAAAAAAAATATATATGTTTATTCAATTCATTTCTTCATTGAAATTACGTCTGACAAGACAAAAGCTACAATTAAGTCCGGTCATCTGATAATACATGTATATATTTTTTTCCGTTTTTTTTAAAGTTTTGAATATTCTTAAACTAAATTGACACAACAAAACACAATCAGATTATAATACATACGCATCCAGACATAATTAGATACATACACACACACACACACACACAAATATACATACAAACAAAAAAAAAAAAAAAAAAAAAAAAAGATGGGGGAATATATGAACAACTCCACACCCTTTATGAAAAAAAGGAGACGTGGAAACTAACACTTATACACACACAGTTAAATAACACTCTACATACACATAGACACCGATAAAACACAAACAAAAATCCACAATGGCATAGAC